CGAGGCAGGTTTAGGGTTTAGGGTTTAGGGTTTATAGGGTTTAGGGTTTGGGGTTTAGGGTTTAGGGTTTAGGGTCGAAGACGAAGTTCCTGCAACTTGCCCGTGCGGCCCTCGTCCAGACACGCCCTCACCAGAGGCTCAGATCCACAATTGTTCGTCTCTAGGCGGGACCCGAAGCCTTTGAAGGACTGGTATCTATGGTCCCAGAGGCCAGACTAGCTCAGGTTTGTAGGGCGTTGGTACTGTTTTGAGCCTATTACACAGAGGATTGGTTGTCAGAGGCTCCTACCCAGCATGTTTTCAGAGGCTTGAGTGGGGCTTCCAGTCTAACAACCCCTAAACCCTGAACCCTAAACCCTAAACTCTAAACCCTAAACCCTAAACCCTAAACCCTAAACCCTAAACCCTAAACCCTAAACCCTAAACCCTGAACCCTGAACCCTGAACCCTGAACCCTGAACCCTGAACCCTAAACCCTAAACCCTAAACCCTGCCTGAACCCAGAACCCGAAAGCCCAAGCCCTTTCGGACGGCCGAGGCTGCGACACCCAACCTGTCCCAACTCGGTGGGGCGCCTGGAAATTCGTCAGGGCCGTTAGGGTTTAGGGTTTAGGGTTTAGGGTTTAGGGCTTAGGGCTTAGGGTTTCGGGCTTAGGGCTTAGGGCTTAGGGGTTTGGGGGTTTAGGGATTAGGGCTTAAGGGGTTTAGGGGTTAGGGCTTAGGGGTTTAGGGGTTTAGGGGTTTAAGGGATTTAGGGGTTTAGGGGTTTAGGGGTTTAGGGGTATAGGGGTTTAGGGGTTTAGGGGGGAGGGCCTATTTTTTTGGGTCTTTTTTTTTTTTTTGGGGGGGCCTTTTTTTTTTTTGGTCGATTTTCCTTGGTTTTTCCTAAGAAAACCACCATTCCCTCCATATTTTTAAAGGATTTGATGCATTTTCGTGGTTTTTCGTACGAAAAACAGTAATTTCTCTGTGGTTTCATAGGAAAGCGTTATTTCTGGTAGGTTTTAGAAGGAAAGAAGGAAAGAAAAGAAGGAAGCAAGGATGAAAGAAAGGAAGAAAACACGGAAGGAAGGAAGGAAGGAAGGAAGAAAGGAGGGAAGGAAGAAAGGAAGGAAGCAAGGAAGGAAGAAAGGAAGGAAGAAAGGAAGGAAGCAAGGAAGGAAGAAAGGAAGCGTGCTTCGAAGCCCAAGAAACTAGTTGAAAAACATCGTGTGAGCATTGTGTTTGCAAATGGGGGGGGCTGCGCCCCCCCCAACCCCCCCGCTTTTTTTGTTTTTTTTTAAGCCGTGCAGAGCGTGCGTGCTTCAAAGCCCAAGAAACTTGTTGACACCCATCATGTGAGCATGGTGTTTGCAAATGGGGGGGGGCTGCGCCCCCCCCAACCCCCCCCGCTTCTTTTAAGCCGTACCAAGCGTGCTTCAAAGCCCAAGAAACTAGTTGAAAAACATCGTGTGAGCATTGTGCTTGCAAATGGGGGGGGCTGCGCCCCCCCCAACCCCCCCGCTTTTTTTAAGCCGTGCAGAGCGCGCTTCAAAGCCCAAGAAACTTGTTGACACCCATCATGTGAGCAGGGTGTTTGCAAATGGGGGGCGCAGACCCCCCAAGCTTCTTTTAAGCCGTTCAAAGCCCAAGAAACTAGTTGAAAAACATCGTGTGAGCATTGTGTTTGCAAATGGGGGGGGCTGCGAGCCGAAGCCCAAGAAACTAGTTGAAACCCATCATGTGAGCAGGGTTTTTGCAGATGGGGGGCACAGCCCCCCCAACCCCCCACCCCCCCCGCTTTTTTTAAGCCGTACCAAGCGTGCTTCAAAGCCCAAGAAACTAGTTGAAAAGCATCGCGTGAGCATTGTGTTTGCAAATGGGGGGGGCTGCGCCCCCCCCAACCACCCCCGCTTTCTTTTTTGAGCCGTGCAGAGCGTGCTTCAAAGCCCAAGAAACTTGTTGACACCCATCATGTGAGCAGGGTGTTGCAAATGGGGCTGGGGCTGCGCCCCCCCCAACCCCCCCCCCGCTTTTTTTAAGCCGTACCAAGCGTGCTTCAAAGCCCAAGAAACTAGTTGAAAAACATCGTGTGAGCATTGTGTTTGCAATGGGGGGGGCTGGGCTCCGACCCCCCCCACCACCCGCTTTTTTTTAAGCCCAAGCCCACGAAACTTGTTTTGACACCATCATGTAAGCAGGGTGTTTTTTTTGCAAATGGGGGGGGGGGCTCGCCCCCCCCCCACCCCCCCCCGCTTCTTTTAAGCCGTACCAAGCGTGCTTCAAAGCCCGACAAACTAGTTGAAAAAAAAGTATGAATCCGATGAAAAAAATATAGAGGGAATGATAGAAACCAAGAAAACGAACCAAATAGGGTTTTCCCTAGAACAAACTAAGGAAAAGCAACGTACGCTTTGACGTTTGACGAAATCCGTCCAAAATGTAATCAGAAGAGGGTTTCCTTAGGAAAAACCAACGAAAACCTCGTTTTTTTTCAAACCGTGCAGAGCGTGCTTCAAAGCCCAAGAAACTTGTTGACACCCGTCATGTGAGCAGGGTGTTTGCAAATGGGGGAGCGGGGCTGTGTTTTCCCCCAACCCCCCCCGCTTCTTTTAAGTCGTACCAAGCTTGCTTCAAAGCCCAAGAAACTAGTTGAAAAGCATCGTGTGAGACCCCCCCCAACCCCCCCGCTCTTTTTTTTTGGAAGCCGCGCAGAGCGTGCTTCAAAGCCCAAGAGGTGTTTGCAAGTGGGGGGGCTGCGCCCCCCCCCCCAACCCCCCCCGCTTCTTTTAAGCCGTACCAAGCGTGCTTCAAAGCCCAAGAAACGAAGGAAATGACAGGATATCTGTCCAAAATGTAAGGAAAATAGGGTTTTCCCCCTAGGAAAAACCAAGGAAAACCTAAGGGAAATTACAGGAAATCCGTCCAAAATGTAAAAAAAAAAAACATAGGTTTTTCCCTATGAAAAACCAACGAAAACCTAAGGGAAATGACAGAAAATCCGTCCAAAATGTAAGGAAAGTAGGTTTTCCTAGAGAAAACCAAGAAAATCGACCAAGAAAAAAAAAGAAAGGCCCAAAAAAAAAAAAGACCCAAAAAAAAACTCCACCCCCTATAAACCCTAAACCCTAAACCCTAAACCCTAAACCCTAAACCCTAAACCCTAAACCCTAAACCCTAAACCCTAAACCCTAAACCCTAAACCCTAAACCCGGGTTCAGGGTGTAGGGCTTCTGAAAGCTTAGGGGTTTAGGGGGGTTCGGGTTTAGGGATCGGGGCTCAGAGTTTAGAGATCAGGGCTTCAGTTAACACTCAGCCAGGTGCCAAGTTTTTGGGATGCTGCGATGACTGCCACCAGCCCTCTGGGCCTTGAGTCCCCAACCCTGTACCCAACAACCTGAAGCCAGGTTTAGGGTTTAGGGTTTAGGGTTTAGGGTTTAGGGTTTAGGGTTTAGGGTTTAGGGTTTAGGGTTTAGCCCGCCAACATTTTTCCAACCTCAGCTGTCATGGTCCAACGGTTCACGACCCGGTGCAGCGTTTTTTTTTGACATCGAAGTCCAACACTCTAGCGCCCTAAGCTCTGAACCCTAGAAGCCTGTAACCCTTAGTCCTAGAAGTCTACAACCCCCTTAACCCTTAACCCTTAACCCTAAACCCTAAACCCTAAACCCTAAACCCTAAGCCCTAAATGACCCCACAGGCCCTGAGCGCACCCTTCTATCGCAGGAGTCAGTCCTCGGCCCGGGTACGGCGCCTGCAGGCCCCGGTTGGGGGTATTTAGGGTTTAGGGTTTTAAGGTTTTGCGGCTTAGGGTTTTTAGGGATTAGGGTTTGAGGTTTTGCGGGTCAGGGTTTTAGGGTTTAGGGTTCTAAGGTTTTTCGGTTTAGGGGTTTAGGGTTTAGGGGTTTAGGATTCTTCAGGGGGCGATGGCTTGACAGGGGCTGGCGCAGACTGGGCAGGGCTGCGGGATGCAGTCAGAGTTCGTTTTGTTTTACTAGTGTTACTGTTATATTGTATTGCATTTAATTAGTTTTAGTTAATTTTTTCGGGCGGGGGGG